GACGTAATCTCACAGAAATGGAGATTAACCTGCAAAAATCCCGGGCACCTTATCCTAAGCCCATAGGATTCGCGAAGATTACGCCTAAAATGGATGTGGGATAACGACGTTGATTTCTGAATACACGATTCTTTTACATTTTTTTGGGTGCCTTACAAATAAATTGGTAATTATACTTATTTCAGTTATTAGCGGAAAGTTGCATTCTTTTCCCATTGTTTTATTTAATACTAATACCTTATATGTATTTAATTAGAAGAGTACTTATTTATAATACTTATAAATTAACGTCAAGACATTAAAAATGTTCAACACGTATGTATTTATTTTAGAAATTTTCAGAAAGTACTCCTTAATATTCAGAATAAAAAATATACTTTAATAAAATTAAAGAAGATAGAAAATAATCTTAAAATATCTGTTTAGACAACATTAAATGATGTATTCAGAGTTTTTAGAGATTCATAGATGCTGTTGGTATAGTATGAGAAAACTCTCTTTTCATTACTTTTATCTAAAAATTGTTTATATAACCTACACGTTCAAGTAATAAACATATCTTTTGTTTCTTATCAAATTTTACGAGGCTATGTTAAATTATTTGAAAAGATGATTCCAAAACTATTTTTCACCCATACATACAATATAATTATTAACAGAAGTCTGATTTCAAATATTTGTGGAAACATGCATAAAAGAGGTTATAGAGTTGCGATATTTTCCTGAGGGAAAGCATCGGAGGTAAAATTTCCATTGAAGTTATTATTGGTAGAAAACTAAAAATAGTTACAATAACTTCTTCTGTATAGCTCATAATACATTTCATTTCATTTCAATATTAATTTATGTTAATTTTAGTTTACCTCGGGCATTAACTATTTTCGATACTTTGAAATTTACATTATTAACCATACTTCATCTCCATAACTAACAATAAAATTGCTTCCAAAATTCCTGTATTAAAATTTCCTCTAAAAAATACTATATACACAGAAGTTATAATTCAAGCATTCTCAACATTCCTCTCCAAAGAACCACAAAAATAGACGCATAATGAGGGATAAAAACACATTTCCACTATTCTCACATTCCCAATAGCTCCAGTAGCCCTGTAAAATACTTTCCCCTACAGGTTCATTAATAATTCACGAAAGATTTATGTATTTCTTCCCGGACTAAACCTCTAAATTCGTTTCCTTCGATGCTAGATTCAGGAACACCGTGCCAGCTTCATCCCGAGCAATAATTCTTGTCAAACGAACCTACGGAAAAACCACCCCCGGGCGGTCCGCCTACTTTTTAGTCGAACCCCTTTCCCCGTCGTTTAAACGCGAATGATAAAGCGTCGCCGTTAAGGGGATGCTCGTCCGGAGTCCGAAAGAAATCAACAGAAGAAACAGAGTGCATCTCTGCCAGGGGTGCCTGGCAGTACTTATCGGCGAGAAGCGAGAAACAGTTGTGGGCCGGTAGACCAGCCGACGAATAAGAGAATCCGGAAAGAAGTCGGTTATACACCGATAAATGGATTAGCAGGATTCACAAGCGGCAGATAAAACAACCGCAAAGAACTACCGTTGAGAGAGTTTAAAGATTCGACGAAAGAAGCAGCAACAGCAAGAGGGTGATTCGGTGTTGTAATATGACCCTAGCTTTTTCGTCTGTTTCTCCAGTGACCAGTCGATTTATAGGATTCTTGTTTCGTAGTCTCCTGAGCTGGGATTACCGCTATTATGCTT